AATTGAAATAGAATTTTGAGATTATTTATTATCGTCTTCTGATTTGACTGGAGGTAATAATATCTTCCATATTTCTGGTATTTGCATTGAGTCATTTCTGTTGCATGTGTTGGGTGTAAATTCGATGAACCAGGATTCAATAATCAATCTCTCTCTCTCCACCTACATAGATTACTTCTTAGAATCTTAACCCTCTCCCACCCTATTGTATGGCTGTGTGTTATTGCATGCAGTGCAATCGTTGAGCTTTTTTCTAAATTACTTATCTTCTCGGGGTCAACCATTCCTACCTTGGCTAAATTCTTATGTTCCGACAATCTGATTACCCCCATCTCATTGTAACTGATCAACAACACTCATATGATTACCACCAGTCAAATCAGAAGAGGATAATAAATAATCTCAAAATTCTATCTCAATTGAAGCAAATCACAACATTCTAACAAATTACTTATTATGACTATAAGAACACTCGTCTTATTTCCCATCTGATTGTAATTGATCAATAACACTCATATTATTATCTCTGAATGTACATTATCTTATATTGATTTTTATTCCAATATCTAATAGATTCTACACATGTATATAAATGAAGGAAAAAAGTTGTGTGAGTGACTTGATATGATTATGAGCAATAAATTGTGCTCAAAACGTGATCATCAGTTAATATTACTGTGTAACACTGTGTGATTTATCAAAATAAAATCTTATCTATAATGGAGTTACACTCTACCACAGTGCCCGAGTTTTATACTTATATTGATCTGTTATTCTACGTAAAAAAATGCATCTGCTGCACAGCTGACTATCAGCGGCATGATAAAAAGTATTTTAACTCTTAACTATAAGAATCTGAAGAGAATTTATTGGAAAGAATATTCTTCATCATGTAGACGGACTTTTCACTGGTGATACAGGAAATACTTTAAACTGTTAAATCACATATATGGATGGCATAACGAGACTTTTATTCACTGAATAACCTTTTCAAGACAGTTTTTTCTTCATAATTATGTCATATGAAACGAACAAACACCAGTGATGATGATGCATAGGTTTCCGTAAAGTTCCTCTTTATAAACTGAAGTAAGTGCAGAGGGAAATGTAGAAGAAAACTATTAGGACATGTGTTACATATACCTAGTCATCGCCTTCCTCGACCAGCGGGCAATGTTAGCTGACTGACATAGGGTCAGGCTGGAAAAGAGCTAGTGGCGGTCAAACCAAAACATGGCTTCATCAGTCAATGAAATCCACAACAATTAGTTTAAGCTGGCCACGTAGGAAGGTGTTGACTTCCTGGTCGGGGTCCTCCGGACGGTGAAAACCAATGGTTGGAAACAATTGGTGACATGGCTCAAAGTGATCGTTCTCAGTGGCTGTCGCAGATACATCCACTCCTTGTGACTTATAATTTCCAATGAAACCGTTTTGTTCTTCGTTATTACTATTCCTTTGTCTCACACCTCTGTTTACTGTCTATATTATTATGCATTTCTCCTTCTTTATTCTCTTGCTTTGTGTGCTACATGGAGTGTGACGACTTGAACTGCTACACATCGGTGCAAAGTTCTATGTCGAGAACAGACAGACAGACAGAAGAAAACTATTAACAACAGAACCTGTTTGAGTGTTGGAAATATTTATTTCCCGATGTGAGTTTAAAACAAGCGACAAATGGTGTTACTGCAGCAGGATTTAATGAATTCACCAAAATTTCGGTGGAACTACTCTTAAGCGGAACACTCTACATACACGGATATATATATATTTATTTACTATTATAAATCTATTGGGAGGTATAAGATTGATAAACAAATAAAGTACATTGAATTAATCACGCAACACGCAACACATGTGAATGTTTTTCAGGTCATGTTCAAATAGATAAGTGGGGGGAAAGGAGTGTGAGAGATTAAAATTAAGATAAAATGCATTTTGCTTTAATTACTACACTTAGATAAACAATTAGCCATTATAGAAGGAACTTAAATATATCAAGAAATGCATGCAAACGGAGTAATATTAATAGCAGTCTGTCTGTCTGTTTTCCACATAGAACTTTGCACATATGTGCGGCAGTTCAAGTCGCCACACTCCATGTAGCACACAGACCAAGAGAAGAAAGTAGGAGAAATGCATATTAGAGACAGTAAACAGAACAGAGGTGTGAGACAAAGGAATAGTAATAACGAAGAACAAAACAGTTTAATTGGAAATCATAAGTCACAAGGAGTGGATGCATCTGCGACAGCCACTGAGAACGATCACTTTGAGCCATGTCACCAATTGTTTCCAACCACTGGTTTTTACCGTCCCGAGGTTCCCAACCAGGAAGCCAGTCTACACCTTCCTACGTGGCAGTACTTATAATAATAATGCTGAAAAGAGTTAAGATAACGCTACTGGTAAAAGATAGTTTTAAATGAATCAGGAATTGTACTTATTAAGAGGTAGAATAAAGTGTTAATAATATTAAGAGTGATAACAGTTTAATGAGTAAAACGTATTGCCATGGTTATTCCAGGATCCGGATTGGGGTAGTCTTAACTCGTTTCAGCATTATTATTATAACTATTGCTATTATTATTACTCCGTTTGCAATTCTTGATATATTTAAGTTCCTTCTATAATGACTAATTGTTTGCCTAAGTGATGTAAATGAAGCGTAATGCAATTTATCTTAGTTCCAATCTCTCACACTCCCTTCCCCCACTTATCTATTTGAACATGACCTGAAAAACATTCACATGTGTTGCGTGTTGCGTGATTAATTCAGTGTATTCTATTTGTTTATCAATCTTATATTTCCTAATGTATTTATAATAGTACATATATATATCCGTGTATGTAGAGTGTTCAGTTGAAGAGTAGTTTGGTGAATTCATTAAATCCTACTGAATTAACACTTTTTGTTGCTATTTCATTGTGATGACTTTCAGGAGAAATGAAGTTTTCAGCAGAGATCCTTCATATTCACTCTATATCTTCTTCATCCTCCACTTTGAGTTCCAAGTGGAACATGAGGCGTTGAACTTGAGATTGCAAGTTTTAGTAGCAGTAGTGTTTAGTTTTTGCTGGATGCGGTTGCTGGCCTCACACGCCTAACCTCCCCTGTTTTTCTCGGACTCATTGGCAGGTTAAGTAAGGTTTAGGAGTGCATCGAATGGGGAATTGAACTAGGATCAAGTTGGGTATGTTTGGGGAGCACCATTATCACTAAACCACTGGACTCTAGTCATTATAATATGTGACACTATTTATTATTCAGGAGAAACAAGTCATGTATTGATCTAATCGCCACATTACGGATCATCATTGAACAAAACCTCTCTATCTCAACTTCATCGACTTTGAAAAGACCTCCGAAAGCGTCCGTCGAGAGGTGCTTTGGCAACTAATTCGCTACTACGAGGTGCCACCGACAATTAAACACCTCATCCAAGAGTTGTACGACAACGCTGCACGCCAAGTAATCCACAACGGGAAACTCACGGAATCCTTCGAAGTAAAGACGGGAGTAAGACAAGCTGGCTGCCTACTATCGCCAATGATTTTCCTGATTGCAGTAGACTGGATAATGCGACAAACAGCAGGCAATGAGGAAACAGGCATAAGATGGACTGACACAAAAAACTTGGAGGATCTGGACTTCGCCAATGATATATGTCTGATTTCTCACAAAAAGGAAGATATGCAATTGAAAAGCAACAAGTTGGCGGAAGAAGCATCAAAGATAGAACTTCAGGTGAACATGGAGAGAACAGAGGTGATGAAGATTCCTGGGCAACACCAACAGCAACAACAACAACAGACAACAATCAGCATAAATGGAAGGAACCTGAAAGAAACAACCTCCTTTACCCACCTACCTGGGAAGCATCGTTTCAACTACAGGCGAAACTGACGAGGATATCAAAGCAAGGATCGGAAAAGCAAGACAAGCTTTCACTACTCTCAAGTCTGTGTGGAAGTCAACAGCACTCAGCATCAAAAATAAGATCCGGATTTTCAGCTCTAATGAGAAGTCAGTCAGTGCTACTCACTATACGGATCAGAGACTTGCACTGCGCGTCATAAAGAGCATCTCAAACAAACTACAGACCTTCATCAGCAGCTAGCTGTCTTCGCTCAATACCACTCAAGATCAGATGGTCGGCCAGAGAAGATCAGCAACAGAGATCTCTAGGAGCAAACCAACCAGGAACCGACTGTGCAACAAATTTGCAGGAAGAAATGGATGTTGACTGGCCATACTCTGAGAAAACCATTAAGTGACATCCATAGACAAGCCCTCGAGTGGAACGCGAAAGGGAAGTGGCAAGTCAGTCGCCAAAGCGTGACTTGGAGGAGATGTGAAGAGGAGATGAAAGTATGTGGGCAGACGTGGAGCCAGGTGACAACTTTAGCAGAGAACCAAACGCAATGGAGACGTGTGGTTGAAGCCCTATGTTCCTCTAGGAATAACAGGATAATAATAATAATATAATAATTTATTATTGTTATTCCCTTAGGTTCCGAGTGGAACATTCGGCTTCAACAATACATCTCCACTTTCTTCTATTTTTTGCTCTCCCCTGCAGTTGGGTCCATGATTGCACATAATGTCTCATCTCCTCCTCTTCCCCACACGATCTCTTCCATGTCAACCTAGCACTGATGACTCACTCGTCGCCGCTTCCTACTTTGGTTCCATTCAATCGATGGCTGGCACTGAGCGCAGTGTCATTCGACGGCCTTCTCAACGTATGCCTCATAAACTCATCTCCATTTTTTCTTACATATTTCGTGATGATTTCATCCTTTCTCTTCTCTGTAGCTGTATCGGTGTTGTGCTCGAATGACATACGTTCATCAACAGTCAAGTCATAGAGAACGTGGAAGCTAATTAAGACATCCAGACTGGCTGAACCGGAACAGAATGTCTCAATGAGCTCCTCCTTTTTTTGTTGTTGACATTATATAAGCAGAAAAAAATCTCAAGGGTATTAACATACGTGGAATTTTATTTGAATATGATCCTATACACCATGTTGCCAAATCTGTACGAATAGGTGTTGGCAGTCGACGTCTTTCTGCACTGACAACAGCCGATAAATCATTTTGTTGTAAACCACTCAGTTCAGTGTTAACACTATTTGAATTATTATTATTATTATTAGTGTTGTTCGTACTGGTGTAATTAGCTGGCGACAATTCAGCGAACTTTCGTTGAGTATTGGTTGACTTTAAAGAAGAATTTAATTGTGGAGAGTCTAGAAGATACTTGATACTTGAACTGCTTGTTCTTTCAATTGTACTAGATTTTTGTAAAACTGTAATAAACAAAAATTAAAATAAACAGAAAAGGGATTTCGATAGTTTGGTGCAGGACTGTGTTGAGTGCTACTTATAACGGTTATAAGTAGTATATCAGTAAAAGAGTTCAGAAAAGTAATAATTTATTTTAGACACTAGAAAAAGACGATCGAAGAAGAGAACTGTGAGAAGAACACTACAGACACTGTGCAGAATCCAAAAAGCTATCGAATGTGGTGATTTCAGGCCAATTTCTAAATGATGTGAAAATGAAGCATTGAAGATCAGGTATACCAAATTTATTTACCTACAGTGAGTTTGAGCCTCAGTCATTCTTAACAGTACTGGTTCATAAGTGAGTATTACTTCAGAGAAACCTGGGATCCTTTTATTGCGTAAATGACTGAATGGAAGAGTAATTTTCTAAAAACAGGGTCAATTAGACGGAAAATGGAAAGAAATTTGAATTTATGCTAGATTCTACCTTGTGAAACTACCAAAGAAGGGCGACCTGGGACTCTGCAAGAACTGGTGAGCAATCATGCTCCTATCGACGCCAAGTAAAATCCTGAGTCGCATCATCCTGGAGAGAATAAAGGACGCACTGGATACACAATTCCGACCAGAACAAGCTGGATTCAGGAAAGGCAAATCATGTTCTGACCAAATTGCATCATCATCGAACAAAGCATGGAATGGCAATCAAATCTCTACCTCAACTTTATAGACTTTGAGAAGGCCTTCGACAGCGTTGACTGCGAAGTAATTTGGAAACTACGCGAGTACTACGACGTACCCCAAGTATTCATCAACCTTATTCAACAGCTGTACGATAACGGCACATGTCAAGTGATCCACAACGGAAAACTCAGTGAGGCTTTTTTAGTAAACACAGGAGTCAGACAAGGGTGCTTATTATCACCAATGATATTCCTAATTGTGGTGGACCGATTGTGCGTCGGACAGTGGGAAACGAGAATACACGGATATCCTGGACCGACGTGAAGAACCTAGAAGACCTGGATTTCGCGCGTGGATGATTTATGTTTGATGTCACACAAAATCGAAGACTTACAAGCGAAAACTGACGATCTGGTCGAAGAAGCAGCAAAGACAGGACTCCAGGTGAACATAGACAAGACGGAGGTTATGAAAATAACCAACAACAACAACAGCAACATCCAGCGCCAATCACCATCAACGGGAGGGATTCGAAAGAGGTTGCTTCATTCACTTCACTTATCTAGGGAGCCTTGTCTCAGCTATAGGAGGAACCAACGAGGATGTCAAATCGAGAATCGGGAAGGCGAGAAACACATTCATCAACCTGAAACCAATCTGGAAATCTTCGTCACTCAGCAACACTCAACAACGAAATTCGGATTTTCAATACAAACGTCAAGTCAGTCAGTTCTTCTATACGGATCAGAAACTTGGTGGGTCACCAAGAATATTTCCAACAGCCTGTTGCGCACCTTTATCAACAACTATCTTCTCTATATACTGAAGATCAGATGGCCGCCGTAAAGAATCACCAACAAGAAACTATGGGAACATACGAAACAGGAACCAATCGCCTAACAAATATGCAGGAGAAAGTGGAGATGGATTGAACACTCGCTGAGGAGACCACTGGGTGACATCGCGCGTCAGGCCCTCGAGTGGAACTCGAAAGGGAAGCGGTGAGTGGGACGTCCAAGGGTGACATGGAGGAGATCGTGTGAAGAAGAGTTGGAACAATATGGACTAACATGGATGCAGGTGAAAAATATAGCAGGAGACAGAAGCAAGTGGAGACGTTCAGTTGAAGCCCTATGTTCCACTAAGAACCCAAGGGAACAATCATAATAAAAAATAATACTAGATCCTACAAGTAATTTTAGATTTTATAAGTTTGGGAATGCCTGTTCACTTAAAATAAAATATTACGTCGCTTCAGCTAGGAGAGGCTGAAAGATACGCTGGATGTGAAACTTCACCCGCAAACAGACTGGATTCATGTGCTGATCAAATTCCAATGGCTATATCACGACAGAAATCTCAGCGAAGCCTTTGAAGTGAACATAGAAGCAAGTGAGATCCAAGTACTGTTATCAGTGATATTCTTAACTTAGGTAAACTGGATCACGCGCAGATCGTGTGTAGGGAGTGAGAAGGCAGGAATAATATGGCTAATAAGAAGACTCTAGGAGATATGGACTCCGCGGATGATTTATGTCTGATATTGGACAAGGTTGAAGATATACAGACTAAAACCAACAATGAACGAAATATTCCCATATTGGGTCATAAGAAAAAGATGTGAACAGCGAAGAAAATGTTCTTTTCGACGATTCATTTTCAAAAGCTGCTGTACACAATCGTAATTATATTCAACAAGGAATTCATAAGATGACCAATCAGATACTGGTAAAATGTGTCCTCGAAAAATGTGACAAGTACGTAACGTCAAATCCACAAACGTATTCTGGGACATTGTCCATCTTTGTTAGCCAGGGCAGAAAAGAAGAACAGTAACAGCTCCATCCTCGAACACTTTGTCAACTCTGTACATCCACAACCTTCGCATGAATGCTTTATAGTGCTACTCAGAGTCCCTCAATATCTTACAAAGGGACTTCGAATACGCCATATGAACACAGTTGAATCATCGGCTATTCGGTATCTGAAAGTGGACGTCTGCATTCAAAAGCATTGCATACATTCACTCGCCCTACCGTGAACAGAGTAACGTTCTCACTATAATTTTGCTTCTTTTATTCTGTAAGTTTAATATTATTATTGTCATTACTACTATTATTTTATTATCATTATTATTTCCATCATACATATTTTATTATCACTCTATTACTGTTAGTTAATAACATTGGGTTTTCATGCAGATTTTAAATATAAAAACACTTTATCGTCTTTCCACTAGTTCCTGTCCATTCTTCACAGTCAGAGTGATTAGTCATTTTCTCACGCTTATTGCGTAATACCAACTTCTGCCTCCTTACAATACGTAATACATTTATCCGAGGACAAATTTTACCAGTAGTATCTGATTGGTCTTATGATTTCTTTGTTAAATATAATTACGATTGTACATCAGCTTTTGAAAATAAAAATCGTCGAAAAGAAGATTTTCTTTACTGTTCACGTCTTTTTATTATGAAACCAACAAGATGCTGCAGATAGTGAAGACAGGACTTCAGGTGAACATAGAGAAGACGTAGGTGATGAAGACATGCACGCATGCACCAACAAGAACAACCAGCACCAATAGCTATCAACAGTTGAAACTTGAAAGAGGTCATTTTCTTCACCTGTTGGGGGAGCATCGTTTGAACTAGAAGTAACACGGATGAGAATTTCAAATTCAGGACCCGAAAGGCAAGATATACCTTCGCTAATTTAAAATCAGTGTAGAAATTTACTATGCTCAGCATAAGAAACAAGATTTGGATTTTGTTAACACCACTGTCAAGTCAGTGCTTCTGTTTGACTAGTCAAGGGAAACACTTCTGATAGATTGAAGAATTTTATCAACACCTGCCTTCATTAGATGGTACTGAAGATGAGATGAGATGGGATTATCAATAAATAAGTCTATCAACGAACCGACCTAGAATCTGTCACCAAAGAAATATGCCGTAAGAAATGGAGGTGGATTAGATACACTTTGAGAGGATTGTTTAGTAACACCAGGGTGAACGCCAGCCCTCAGGTGGGACCCGACTGGGAAACAACGAGTTGGGCTTCGGTCTGAGTGTGGCATTGCGGAGGTAGTGTGAGGAGGAGACCCAAGGTGACAGGAAATCATAGGTCCAGCTGAAGAGGACTGTAGAGAAGAGTACGAAAAGGGAATGTTCTTTTGAATAATGATGATAGTAATTTTCAATGCTTAGAACTCAGAATGAGGCATTGTCATTTACATGAAACACTATGTCCATATATGAAATGAAAGATTCTGTGAATTGAGTCAAATCGGTCGAAGCTAAATGATTGTGACTGTGCTACGCTTTATTCTTCTGCATTGCGAGACTATCGAACTGTGACTTGAATCAATCGAAAGAAGTCTTAGATGAGCTCATTTTGATGTCTGATTTTACGTGTACTGAGAACTTAGGTTCCGTCAAACGGATATACTTCCTTTATCTTGTGTACAATAGAAAACTAAAGCCTAACTGGGATCACTTGTTTACCGTCATTTGTTCCAGCTAAAATTATGAATCTCAAAGTACCTAGATGTTTTTGGCAATTTATTTGGTACCCAATAGCTGGTGAGGGAGAAGGATATTTTAGTGCTGGCTTTGTGCCCGGTTTGGGCAAGGTGTTCCAGTTTCCAGTTGTTGATGCTTCTAACTACACTTTTATTTAGCCACACTGGTAGGTGTTCGTGAGCAAGCACGAAAAATCAAGTTCCTAAAGCAGTGGCCACCACAAGCGCAGTCGAATTGGCAGATCCAATTAGAAGTAGCTAGCTAGTCTAGGTACTTCATCTTTCAATTGAGGAGTCACAAGCGGTCGTGCAGAAAATAAGACTTGCAGTTTACCAGCATTAAAAGTTCTTGGAAATGATTATCTAAACTTATTCGTAATTATTTCACAAAGCATATCGCCATTGGATTGTAGTCTTATGCATAAAGGCTTCTTGTTTACGGCTAGTGAATAGTCCTTTTCAGCTTTCTTAGTCATATGTTTCCTGATGAACTCGTCTGGAGAGCTATTTTCACTCGAGGTATCATATATAATCTTTAGTTCATTTTTAGATACCTCTTCGGAGCATATAGCTGTAACCCTATGGCTGAGGGTCATTACTAAGTTTCTTTTTTACTTGAAAATATTCAGAATAAATATAGCCAGATATCCAAAACTCCGGATACAGTGGCTGCAAATCAAGTGTCTGAATCAGTGAGACTGGACTCCACTGTAGTGCAAACATGATTTTCTTAGTTAAATACAACATTGTGAATTCAGAAACAACTTTCACACCGTAACTTGTCTTTACTTTTTCCATCTTAAAGATTCTTTTCCGTTCAAAGTGGAACATATGGGAACAAATATTTCAAATTTCAGGAGCAGTGAGTTTGCTTATTCCTTTTTCTGCCTTTACTGTCAACTGTTAAACTAGACAAGGTTTAGGTATGTTTTTACGAGTTTGACCACGGATTGATATCAGTTAGAAAAGCATTGAACACCAGGTAGTACTGGACAGCTGTTTCATCCTAGTTTTGGGAATCGTTTACAGTACGCCCCCAATGGGGTTCGAACCCAGGACCCTTTGGTGACATGGCAAGCTCGTATACTTGCCAGTGAGTGAGTACTGCCAATGATTCCAAAAGCTAGGATGAAACAGCTGTCCAGTACTCCATGATTTTCAATGCTAACTGATATCAGTCCATGGTCAAACTCTTGAAAACAAATCTTATCCTTACAAACCAATATATGCGTAAAACGTGGGCACTGTGGTAGTAAGTAATTCCATATTAGTTGGTTTATTAGGTGTAACACACAGTGAAGCAGTATTATTTACTGGATAACATTTCGAACAAAGTTTATTGTTCATAATCATATCAACTATAATCACACGACTTCGAAACTTGAGTTTTATAGTTTTCTTTGTTCTCTCCTATTTGTTGTCATTGGGGTAGTAGAATTTTCCAGATATCTGGGACAGGTGTTGAATCATTCCTATTACATGTATTTGCAGTTGATTCAATAAACAAAGCTTATGTTATCAATCTCTCCCTCCACACTGTTACATTAGGTTTTACAACTGTCATCTTATTCCATCCTATTGTATGGTTGTGTGTAATTGTATGTAGTGAGTGCTATAGCTGAACTATTCTCTAGATTTCTTATCTTATTCGGATCAATTAATCCAGACTTTGCTAGGTTATTATGCTCGGCTAGTCTGACTGCCCCTGTTCTACTAGTTTGACCTATGTATTTGATCTGACAATCACTGCAGCCAGGGTATTAGGTAAACTAAATTGTTTTGTTCAATTGACTCCACAGGATTGGTCCTATAACCGACAAGCTTGTTTCTAATTGAGTTTGTGGGTTTGAATGTCATTTTTATTCCTGCCTTGTTAAGAATTCTGCGTAAGGTTTCCGAGGTTCCTTCTTTGTGTGGAACTACTACTGATGATTTATTTAGATTCCTCATTGTTGGTGTTGTCAGTATCTTGCGCATGTTTGACATGCATGTCGTCATAATAAAATTATTATTATCACTATCACTACTATCATTACTTATTTTATTTTTATTTTTACATTTCCCTACATACTTTCTGACTTATTTATCAGGGTAATTATCAATTAAGTTTCAAATCTTTTCTTATATGCCTCACTTCCTGTCTTAGTTTTTGTGCTCTATGACTTCAACATTTCACCAATCATACTTTCACTGACATAGGATGGCATGATCGTAAATCCAAATATCTGTTTGAATATGTGGGTTTCTTGTAAACATTAGTGTTTAACTTCCCATCTTCTTTCCTTTTTACGCTACAATCTAACATCGGAAGCTCCCCTTACTGACTTTCCAATTCACAAATGAATTGAATTACCTTCACCTTTGAGTTAATGTGTTCGAAAAACCTGTCTATATCCTGTGTTCTTAGTATGGTGAATGTGTCATCTACATACCTCCACCATACTTTAGGGGTGGGGTTGAACGTTTCAATCGGTATACACTCAACTCAAGTTTCAAAGTCGTGTGATAATATAATTGATATGATTATGAACAATAAATTTTGTTCGAAACTGTGTCATCCAGTAAATAATACTGTTTCACTGACTGTGTGATACATCTAATAAACAAACTAATATGAAATTCCTTACAAACCAACTCTTGAAAAGTTTAGGAAGGTATCTGCCTGGGACTGAAAGTTAAAACTCCCACGTAAATGGCAACCACTCTATCTTTGAATTACTGATGCAAATTTTACCTTATCAATACTACCAAATTCATGATAAATCATCGTCTACTAGTGAAAACATTTCAACTCCACCCAGTAAGTATGAAATTGAAAAAAACAACAGCCCACCAACTTCAGTCAATCACTTTTGAAATAGCAAAAGTCATATTCAACGAGGTGATGTTTTTCCTCTCTGTATTTCACCACTTTTTGCTTGAAATCGATTGTGTACTGGGGACTGAGTATTGAAAAATCCTGGTAATCCAACGTCCAAGGCTTTTTAGCAGCTATTAACACGGTATGTGTTCAAATTCAAAGTCAAACTTGTCATGCATAGACTTGAGCTCATAAACTTCAATCCTCTGGCATCAACTTATTTACAGTGAATTACTTGAGGCATAACTAATACCCCTAAACACCGACTGAAACCTGGTCGCTTATTTTCCAAGGTTTTCTGCGTGTTTCTGAAATGTACTCTGGTGACTGTATACTTTGATAGTGATGGTGATACATTCAAAATGTCTTAATTTTCCCTGATAGACAATGAAGTTTACTAAGTAATGCATAGAACGACTGAAGGCTACTCATTTTAATTATCTGAATGCTTCAATTGTTTCTAATCTGAGGAAGACAAAATCTTGATTGGCGGATGGTGACTAGCGATGAAATTCACCCCATTGTGGCCTAGTGGATACCACTTTGTCGTTTGAAACGATGGGTGTTGTTTTCCAGTCTTATTGGGAACATGATCAGGTCTGGTCACGAACTGACATCAATTAGACAGCTATTAGACAACGAGGGTGTACTGAACGGTTGTTATCTCCTAGTTTGGGATCCTTCAAAAATATGCACCCACCATGTTTCGAAGGTAGGACCTTCCGATTACAAGTTGAGCTCGTAGACGAATCAACCACTGGAGATGAATCCAATGACCGATGAATTTCAACTTCTGCCGATTCGCGATATGTATAGCGCAATCTCCACTCTATGTCACAGACAAGAAACCATTTTGTTACCTGATTTGGTTAACTCCACGAACACGATCACTCAGGGGGGGGGTATTGCAGGTACATCCGGATGCCGAGTCTCAAATGCTACGAAATATATCTACTGTATTTCTCTGCTAGTCAGCATCCACCAAATACCATCTCGTAAATCCTCAGATATCACCATGTCTTCCGTGATAAGAGTCGACGTGTCAACAGAGACTGAACATTTCGGTTCAATAGAGTCAATCAGTCAGTCAGTTAGTCGAAAATAGAAGATTAATTTAAACAAACTCTTACTTGCTTGCTTATTGTTCGGTGAATTCCTACGCGGTAAAATATCATCTTCCCAACTGTGAGGATATCGATACTGGAAAAGACCACTGGTGCTACCAGCACCAGCCTCACTCCCACTCACACCACCACCAACAGGACCACTGGTCACATCATTTTGAACTGTTGGATTTGTATAGCAGCTGTTCATCATTAATTTTGAATTTCTCAACACATTCGATATTGTTGAACTTGTCATTATCTGTTGGTTGTTGTACAATGAAGAACTATCAGTTAACTCATCGAACGCCGGTGTACTCTGTTCATTTGGATTACTCGAGTATGCTGATAGTTTGCGTTGTTGAAATTTCTTATCCAGCGTACTATCCTGTTGTGATTTAGCGTTAGAATTAAGCTGAAATGTAGGTGAGAAAAAGAAGGTGAGACAGTGTAGTAAGGGAAAAATCAATCGATATTTAAGTGTTGGTTTGTAGGGATTTGATTGATTGGTTACAGGATTTTCATCATGAGCTGACATTAGTTAGAGAACCATTGGGAAACGTGGGAGTACTGGATAGCTGTTTCATCATAGTTTGGGACTGTTCATCAGTATGCACCCACCGGGATTCGAACTCAAGACCCTCTGGTTTACAAGGCGAGCTCGTATAACATTAGGCCATTGGGACCCGATCCAGTGGCCCATGAATTCTAACTTCTGCCAATTCACGACATGGCGCGAACCCTAGCCAATGTCTTCGGTGAGTATTTGCCCTAGAACCCGACCTGCTGCACCCTACTGGTCACGTCTTCTCACTAGAACCCCAATTAACTCTCTACCTGAATAGGGCAAGTCTAACTAATGTCAGCTCATGATGAAAATCCTGTAACCAGTCGATATTTTACATGTGAACCTAGTCATATACAGAAAGAAAACTGTTAGGGATACTGTTAGGTCGACTTGATATTAGTTCATAATGACACGTCTCCCTGATGACCGCCTGCTTTTAAAGTAGACTTTAATACAGAGTGTAAAATCTATCAGAGGATTCCTAAAAGGCTAAGGTATACATAACAGCCGTTTCGTGAGAATTCGAAGATTTTCGATGGGGCCTATTCTTAATCTAAATCACTGTTGGTTGGGTGAAAGCTTTTGTTTTCGTGAAACGAACTCTTTATTATCCAGAAACTTGGCAGCCTGCATAAATTTCGGCTACCAACAAAAAACATCGTCAATATCTCACAAATATTTTCTCCGGTTCAGTTTGTTTAAATCTGATAACATATGACTTTTAATTATGTTTTATACTCTGGCGAGTATTTAATTTGTGCTTATAACTTGCTTACTCGCAATTTTTCTAGTTATCTTGAGAAAAAACATAATCGTGGATTGGGGCGTATTGTAATGTAAAAGACAGGTGTTCATGGGTTATATTCTTAGTTCCCAGAATGGATTCTAACGTGTTAACGTCTCTGATTACAGGCTGCACTGTTTGACGTAGGTCAGAATCTCAGATGGAATATGAGTCCCTTCAAGACTGCAAATACGTCTTACTGACTGCTGAGGTCAAACAAGCACGAACCCCGGGTGTAAGGTTTCCTGCCGATTGCAACCAACCATCTAATAAAAACGACACATCTGTAAGATATGCTTATTGGGAAAACTAAGGAGGGAATAGACAGAACTTAGGTTGAAACTATTTATTCCGAGAGTATGAGCATATCAAACTGGGTAAATCATGTAAAATTAAACTGGTTTGCAGTATGTTCTGTACGAGATGCATGAATAGTGTCCCGTTACTCAGTAAAATGTCTCAGACGAAAGACTTAACAGACAACTGAAGTCTATGACAAAGGAAGAATATGAAATAGTATAATGAGTAGGGCATCAAATCCAAACATTATGCTATCAATCACTATGAGAGGTTCTTAATGACGCTCCGCTATTCGATGCTAATGGCTTTTGGAAGACAGAAAGATTGAGCGAAGGAATATTTACTTTTCAATTAGATCCTCTTCTCTGGCTCTACTCTAATATATATAGCATTTTTACAATACACAACAATTTACCAAACAAGTGGTGATATGTTTGTTAACAATAATTAAAGTGTCAAAATGTCAATGGGTTGATAATTAACGCAGAAAATCAATACACATTTAAAAAGTAGAAATGGATAGAATAAGTTAATTTTACAAGAATAACGCGTAATTAAAGATGAAGTGGTCAAAATAAAAATAAAATAATTTGGACAATTATAATTTAACAGGGGGAGGGGGGCAACGTAGTCCTGTCTTGTAACGATGGCCACGGCAAGGAAAGTGGCTGTACAAATTTCTTCTGTACACATAGGCTTGGTTTCTTCTGGTGCATTCCGATTGCTTCAGCTGTCTGTAGAAGACGAACTCGTAGAGCAAAGTTAAGATTAGTCGGAATGCGATAAATAATTTTAAATGCAGTATTCACATCAACCTTGTGCTCAGTATCAACAAGGTGTGCTGAAATAGAACTACGAATAGATCTTGTCTGTCCCTTGCTTAACCACGCTGGATGATGTTCAGAAATACGACGATGAAACTGCCTAATTGTACGCCCAATGTATCTGGCTCCGCAGCTGCAGTCAAATTGGTAGACACACATAGAATGGCTTTATCAAAGTAATATTAAGGGAGAATCTACAAAATTTCTGCTTTATCCACTAACTTAATCACATAGTTCTTCAGCATGAGGACATTTATTTTTTGGTTGTCAAGTGAGTTGAATCGGCAAAGATAACAAACCCATGTGCATAGACTGTTGCTGGATTTGATAAATGTATGCGATCACAAAAAAGCATGTGTTTACATAATGAAATTGTTTATCATACTTGCACTGATTGTGTTACTTAAAGTGGCAGGGAGGAGTGGGGTGGTAAATTGCTAGAACCATATCACATTGTGCCTTCCTATGCAGACAATTTTTATTCCATTTAATGTGAAGTGTGCTTCTGATATAAAATGTTCTCTGAATGAATTCAATATTGTCAGAATCGATTTTGTAACCTAATTCTATAGCCTGTAGACATGCGGTCGATGATTTTTCAAGCTTTTTAAGTTCCATAGGATTTGTTGGGGGATTTCATCATCAACTGACATCATTTACAGAAACATTGGAAAACCAGCTGGGAGTACTGCACAGCTGTTTTGTCTGACTAGTTTGAGACTCTTCAGCAATACGCAGCCACCACAGAGATTCGAACCCAGGAACTTCTGGTTACAAGCCTAGCGAGCTCGTAGACCATTCAGCGGCCACTGGGACTCGACCTAATGGCCAGTCCATGAATTCCAACTTCTGCCAATTCACAACATTGCGCGACCTCTAGCCAATGTCTTCGTAGAAGATTATTCCAACACTCAGTATTATCATTTTGTTTCCTTTAATTCCTAGAGAAACATAGGGCTTCAGCAGTGCGTCTCAATTGCGTTCGGTTCTCTGCTAGAGTCTTTACCTGGCTCCAAGTCTGCCCACACGTTTTCATCTCCTCTTCACATGACCTCCTCTAAGTCACCCCTGCACTGACGACCAACTCGCCGCTTCCCTTTCTGGTTCAACTCGAGCGATGGCTTGTCTAGTGATATCACTTGGTGGTTTCCTCAGAGTATGGCCAATCCATCTCCATTTCTTCCTGCCTATTTGTTTCACAATCGGTTCCTGGTTGGTTCGCTCATTGCCAGAGATCTCTGTTGCTGACCTTTTCTCGCCGGCCATCTGATCTTGAGTGGTATTGATTGAAGACAACTGTTAATGAAGGTCGGTAGTTTGTTTGAGATGCCCTTCATGACGCGCAGTGCACGTCTCTGATCCGTATAGCAAGTAGCACTGACTTCACATTGGAGTTGAAAATCCGGATCTTATTTTTGATGCTGAAGTAGTGCTGTTGACCTCCACACAGACTTGAGAGTAGTGAAGGCTTGTCTTGCTTTGATACCCTCGTCAGTTCCGCCTGTAGTTGGAAAGATGCTTCCCAGGTAGGTAAAAGAGGTTGTTTCTTTCAGGTTCCTCCCATTTATGCTGATCGTTTTCTGTTGTGGTTGTTCTTGTCACACTCAACGGTGACTGACTATGGTATAAATTTTTCTAGAATTCTGGGCAGAAAACATGATCAATGGCTTTCATCATCAAGGTAAAGCGTAAGAATAAATACTCGTCAGTGATGTTGACTGTTGGTGGCACTATCTGTTGCCATACGTCTCACACGTGTGTGCTACTCAGGAGTCCCAAGCTAGAACAAAACTGCTTTCACGTAATCCCTGGTGGCTTCTAACGCTTCTCTAACTGATTTCAGCTTGTGAAACCAACATTTGTTAGTCCCAATTTCACTGTCGGTGTCGTGACACATATCGATGACGTTTACAGAACTGTAAGCTATCGATGCTCCGTTAGTTTAAATTTTAGCCAAAAAAATCAAACCAATTTCGGTTTGTGGTTTGAAGTTAACCAACTCTGAGTTTTATTCACTCCTCATAATTCGCTTATTTTTAAAAAATTAGGCAATACTATTTAACTAATTTTCAAAAATTTCTATTCTTATGGACTGAGTGACACTGAATTTTAGTCCGATCGCCCGCCCACACATTGAAATATATATATGGGAAAATCAAACAAACACCACGTAGCCGAATTTTATCGGTTTCAAAAATTTAGAGAACAGACGTGTTTCAATTAACCCACCTACTTTTGGTTTTACAGAAAAAAAACAGAGAAACGAAACATATGTATACTTCAAAAAATTTACCAACAATAATCGTTTCGCGAGTGAAGCCACTGAAGCATCAGCCGTGGCTAATCGTTGTCTTTGGATCAATAAATGCTCCAGGAGTAGATTTCGTTTCGATTCCTAGGGAAAAAAAAGTAAGCAAAGAAAAAAATATGAAAGGAATACGAATTTTTAAAAATAGCACATAATCATACATACATCTTTTAAATAACATACTGACTAACTTTATTTTCGGTTTTTATTATTATTGTTTCTTTTAGTTATTAGAGGAACATTGGGATTCAGTCGCATGTCTCCATTGCGTTTGGTTCTCCACCAACGTTTTCACCTGGCTCTACGTCTGCCCACATGCTTTCATCTCCTCGTCACATGACATCCTCCATGTCACCCTCACACTGATGACCAACTCGCCGCTTCTCATTCGGGTTCCACTGGAGAGAGAGTACCTGGCGTGTGATGTCACTCGATGGTTTGTTTTCTCATAGTATGGCCAACCCACCCCCATTTTTTCCTGCATATTTGTTGTGCACAATTGGTTCCTGCCTGTTTGGTTCGTTCATTGCCAGAGATCCCTGATACTGAATTTTTCTGGTCATCTGATCTAGAGTATTTAGCAAAGTGAAGTGGTCTTTGGCAGATAGTGGTTAGTAGTGTTGGCGTTTAGAATGAGTATTTCGACCTATTCGAGACTCGTCAGCGGGATGTAATTGTATTCTCAGGGAGCGATGGATGATGTTCCCTCCGAAACCCAAACCCTGTACTCATCATTCCAAATGGCAAAGCATTATTCACAGGCAATATAAAGTACTTTGTGAGCTTGATAGCGTATCGTTAAGAAGGTTTGTCTTGTGTTGCCATGAAGGAATTCCATCTGCTGTAGCCACGGGAGTTATTATGGTCACAGATGATTTCTTGTAGAACTTTAATGAGTTCACTGACTGATTGGTCACTATAGTGTATATTACGACGGACAACATATTATTGTTAACCCTAAGGTCACGATTGATGCAATCAGTCGTATGTTGATTAATAATAATAATAAAGCTTTATCTCAGACAATTGGTAAACATATATATAAATATGTTGTATAATTTGGAATTTTGCAGGAACCTCTTATCCTCATCCAAAGACTATTCTACAACCGGTACACAGCTTCTACCAGTAAACACAACTACAGCAGTGAACGCTTCTATGGATTATACTGGTAATTTGTATCCGTGGACTTTAACTGTATATCCAAGTAACCATTTAATTAATATACCTCGTTACTGTATTTTTCATAATATACTGTTACACTAACATCTCATTAACTTGGATTTTTATTCACATACTTGTTCTGTTATTGAGCTCACTAGAAAGTTCTCTACAAGACAATCAATTCTATATATTTTTTTCTCCTCATTTCCTTCGAAAATTGCATAGCTTTGAGTGGGAAACTAATTAAGTGTGCGCGTGAGTTCAGGTATTGGTCATTCGATATAATTTCACGATTAAAACAATATGAAGTGCAGAAGAGTTTAAGTATTTTGATGGATGAAAATTCTGGTAGTTCGGTGATTTAAGTATCTACAGTTTAAATTTCCTTTGATGGGTAAACGGCATTTATTTCAGTGAAGCCACAATATATTTTGGCGATGTACGAACCTAAATTAAAGCATAATACAGTACTATATATATTTTTTAATTTCTTAACTTTCCCAGTGAAACATAGGGCTTCAAGCTAGAGGCTTGCAGTTTCAGAAGCAGTGGTTGGGATTGCTAGCCTCATACCCCACCTTCCTGCTTAACCAGTCTTATTACTAGTTTAACGAGGTAAAGGAGTGCGTCCGTCGGCCGGTAATCGAACCCCGGACCACAGGCGTGGCTGGCGAGCATTTTACCGCTGTGTCGCCGACGCCTTATCAAACTACTTATTAGTAAATTATCTTTGCAGTCATTGAGTTATTCTCATACAGAGATTATTGATTCTGTCATCCAATCAGTTGTAGAAGTACAGAGCAATTTATCAGCAGATGCATTATTTGCACATATGGGTTTCCATGGAAACGGATGCTGAAAATCAGATGGATAGCCTGGATTCCAATAATGCGTCAAAAATAAGAAAAATCACTATTTGTGCAAAACCAGGAGATACGATCAGTTCAAGTGCAGGGATTTTCACTCCAGTTTCTCCTAAGTACCATGCTGCTGAAAACGCTTCTGTAGATATTTTGAGCTCACTTGGTGAAATATTGTGTGATGTTCAATTCCTTTTAAAGAAATTTACAGATTTATGTTATCTTACTAATCGTCATTAATTGGATATGCTGAACATTCACTGGATTGACAAACTGTCTTTTTCGGAAATACTTTTTCATGTCATCGATTTTGATGAAATGATGCCAATTCTTCACAAAATGTTTGAGGAACTTGCATCAGTATTCAACACGCGCTACAAATGCTTGGTTCTGACCAAAGAACAGTGTGATGATTTCCTTAGTTCTCTTGGTTAAGTCAGCTTTGCACCAAGAAAGGATCCTAAACTGCTTCGTGGGGGAGATGTCATAGATTGAGAAGGCCCAGAAATTTCTCCGTTAGTGATTCTCAGTGGGTTCGTGATTTTCTAACTGCTACGCCCAAGTGGACTATAGAAATAATCGAAGGGAAGACGGGCACAGTGGCATACGGTGTGAACATCAAAGGAGTGCTGAGGTTAAGACATATAAACCGCATCAGGAAATGATAGGGTTTCGATAATACCAGCAACCGGTTTCAAGAAGATTCACCCATGGACAGCATATGAAGAGAAACAACAATGAAAAAGAAGTGAAGTGGACCACAGTCACTGGTACTACGAAGATCATAGAGGTTTCGTAGACCTGTGAGGTACATTCAGACAGAATTTACTAAAAAGGGGGGGTGTTAGTCTGGCAACATATCTTTGCTAACCACAAAATCATAAGCATTATTATTATTCCTTTGGGGTCCGAGTGGGACATAAGGCTTCAACAACACTTTCTTCTATTCTCTCCTATCCTCTTCAGCTGGCTGGGACCATGATTGACCACAACCTCTCAAATCCTCATTGCCACACGATCTACTTTATGTCACCGTCTCACAGACCGCCCACTCGTCGCTTCCCATTAGGAATCCACTCGAGCGATGGCCTGCATTGAGCGCGACGCCATTCGGCGGCCTTCTCAGTGGCGTATGCCCAACCGACCCCTCTGCATTTTCTCCTACATATTTGCTGAGCAATCTGTTCATCTTGGGTTTGTTGCCATATTGATGTCATCAATCATATGTTGATTATTTATCTATGGGCTGAATTTCGGTTGACGTGTACACGATACATGTATACTCTGCATTGTGGACAATAAAGTTGTTGCCACACATGTCTCAGTCAAATCTGATTCCTTTGTATCTACTCAGTGATCAGTTGACTGGAGGCGTATTACAGTCAAGGTAGACATCAACCAACAAAAGCAGTAACACTCCGTTACAACAGCTTTTTAAATAGAATACTGTTTAACTCTACTCATCAGTGATAGAGTGAAATCGATCAAGTCTGGTGTGTACTCATCACAGTATGAGGATTATCACTGAACAGTGATTTAGGCTACACTCATATACCCAAGCCATCTAGAATCACTAGACCTTATTCAGTTCATTCACTTGTAACATACTGTTCACTTTTGATGGTTTTATATGTGTATATTTTGTATGAGATGTACAACCGGAAATTACTGTTTCGTTGAAGCATAATTTATGAGGTGAATAAATCAGCCCTGTCGTAGCGGTGAATATGCTTTGATTACTAATTTAAAATTGTCCTAAAAATGGACCATTTAACATTTATTCTGGGCTAGGTAGGACTGATACTTTGACCAATAAGTAAGCAAAATAACAAACAAACCTTGCAAACTTGACTGATAAAATTCAGTCCACGCCAAAGGTAGAACTAGACATATTGCACTAGCTGCTAATGTCCAATCGAAACAAAAATATCCAGTACAGTCCTGCAGGAATTCGATCTTGATCCCAAGTAGCCTAATGGTAACGTCTCTGACTGCAGCACTGGGTGAAGCGGGTTCAAATCTCAGGAGGGATATTAGTTCCTTCAACGTTGCAGTTACGCCTTGCTGACTGGTGGGTACCAACCAGTACGAAACCTAGGTCACGTAAGGCTTCCTGCCTTATGTATTAACTAGCTAGGTCGCAGGAATCGGCTGAGAAGTTGTAGAAGGTTTTCGGCTGACTATCAGTAATCCTGTACAGGCGATAATGACTATAAAAGTTGGTGCTTTCCTTGAAAGCTTAGTGAAAACAATTTTTTAACAAACGCAGTACTTTGAAACCTCATGTGGTTAACTAGCTGGTCTTAATTCTTGAAGAAGACGGAAGATTAGGCATGGGACTAGCTAACATATCCAGGAAAATCAACTCAATCACTATTGAATCTTCAGAACTAGAATCAGGGAGATGAAATGACGTGGGTTGGTGAAAGTCCTCAGCCAATGTGTCTTCAATTGGTGACAGTAAAATAAGCATTAGGAAATAGAATATCCTTATGATGTTTGAAACTGAGAAGGCTGCTCAGATTGTACACGAAATAAGAAGATTTGGTGAAGAAATGCTGAGGATCTGTGAGAGCAGATGAAACAGAAAAGAACTTTCCAAATTGTTTATTGCATGTGTCAATGATGTAATCTGGTCGCCCAAACGACAATCATGAACACGCTGAAAGAATGGCTGACGAAGGCTGTCATGCAGTTGGAACTATTCTTTTTCAGGATAATGATGGCAGGATTCAAATGAAAAGTTAGGAAAGTTACAATTATCCAGTGATATGCTTCTACAAACAAATGGAGAAGGAAGGAGAATTTTGCAGACAACTAAAAACAGCAAAGGACAAGATATCAAACAGCGACATGATATTAATGCCAGGCAAGTTGGAGGCAGACAACACAGGAAGACAACTCATCATGGGTTGGAACACTCTTGGCGAAATGACTGGAAAGGGAGAGCTGTTTGCAAGCTACTGAAACTTCAGTGATTTGGCGGTTGGAAGCAACATGTACAAATGCAAGAACATACACAAGGTTAAGTGAGTTTCACCAGAGAAATACACATAAAATTCATTTCAGTCTTAAGGAATGGCTTTCTATGGACATGTGGAAGCTAATAGAGGGGAGAGGGATGGTGAAATAAAAAAAATGCTGAGTTTAATGTATAACGCACTGAATGGAGAAGTGAATGAGAGTGCTAAGAAGACAGTTCTGTGGATTCCTGGCGAATGAAGAAGAACAGGGCCCAGCTAAGAAATACATTAGAACACTAACAGATCCGATCAGAGAGCAACACAAATGAAAACAATGCAACTTAGTGAAAGAGAAGCAAAGGAAATTCAGGGCTGATAAATTCAAAGTACTCTTGAGTCGACCACCATACTGAAGCCTTCTAGGAATACCACCAGCAGACAATGAGCACCAATCCTTCGACAAGAACAGAAGTCGTGAATACCATGACGTTACTGAAAGTCAGGAAAGCAAGACTACATGAAATCTCCCACCTCAGAAGTACTGAAAACTGTTCCAGAAATTTCAACGGATTTGTTGACGCTGCTATTGCAGAAAGCTTGGAAGGAAGGAGAGCTGCCTTTGGACTGTTAAAATCCATCAGAATGGAGACTTAAGCTTATGCGAAAACTGGTGCGGAATCATTCTTTTACCTAGCCCAAGCAAAGTACTAAGCTGCATCATCCCAGAGAAATTAAAAGATGCTTTGGAGGGAAAATTCCACCCGGAAGAAGCTGGATTCAAGAAAAGCGAACCATGTGCGAACCTAAATGCAACGTAGCGTTGCATCATCATCGAATACCTCAACATGGAGATCTGCTGGACATGTCATCAGGAGACAATCATGTAACACCAGATGACAGGTCCACGAAAGGAGCCTGAGGGGGGGAAGAAGAGTAGGGAAAGGGTCAGAGAGTGATAGATATGAAGGAAATCTTGTGAGGGGGAAAGCAAAACTTATGAGTCACCTAAAAAAGACTGCAGAGAAGAAAGTAAAAAAATAGAGATCTGCTGCTGAAGCCCTAGACTACGCTACACTTGCTATCTCTCTTATTCTCCTCTGAGTGATAGTATACATCACTAGGCCTTGTGGATAAATTGTCATACCTGATATTCATGAAAACAATGGACATATAAGCAACAAATTACCTCCACTACACACACACACACACACACACACACACACGTAGACCAATCACAGCATAGTGAACTATTGAATTTTGAAGTGAATTTTTAGACTAAACTAACAGTACAACTAACCAGTGGTAGAAAATAGAACAAGATTAATGATCTCATTCTTTAGGTTATAACGATGTGAATCGGAGATGTTAAGCCGTAAAGTGCAAATAAACATTCTCCTCTCCCACTCCCTTTCTGTGCTTGTGTGCAGGTACATGTTAGTGCATATGCGTGTTTGTGTGGATGTGTCTGGTGACAAAGAGATAGACAGACGCCTTGCACTGTCAGGTGATAAGCACCTCAGCTGTAGATACGTGTATATGTGATTTATTCATATTTAAGAATCGTATTAAAATGTGTGAGAAAGTAACCAACTTTATTTCTTATGGTCAAATAGAGTGGTTACACCATTAGGGGTTCACTGGTTCACAAAATAACAGTCACCGTCTCTTGGTGTGGACAAGAGAGACTTTTCCCGTGAAACGAATGACCTTTGGTTTTAGAAAATCTAGACGCCGAATGTCATTTCACCCTGGTGATTAGTAGATTACAAGGTAACGTTATTTAGAGAACTGTTGAAAACTAGATGGTTCTAAATGGCTGTTTCATCCTTGTTTGGGACTCTTCAACAGCACGTGCTCTTGACTCCACACATTAGGGGTTGAATCCAGGAGCTTCATTTATGAGGTGAGATTGTTGACCGTCAGCCAGTGAGCTAATTTCATTTGCTAGTATTTGTCATTACACCCATCTAGTTACTTAATTACTTAACTCGGAACCAATCAAATTCTTACAAACAAACACTCGGATATTCAGTGATCAGCATTTCTCAACAGTTGTATCAGTGTCAGTTGTGGGCAAACAATATCACTAATCGTATGAGTGAAATAAACAGACGAATAGATTGTTGCATAAAGCTATATACTACTGATCGACGGAAATGAGTAGTTGTATAAACTCATATGAACCATTAGTGCTTGCCGCGTAGCCAGTCAGATCGAAGTGACTGAACAGTTAATATTACTGTAAGAAAAAGAAGACCGGTAAGGCTCAGAGGAAATGCCTACTAAGGCAAGACCATTGTAGGTACATAAATTTGATATACCATATGTTCAATGCTTTATTTGCACATCATTTGCAAATTGGTCGAATATCACCACATTCGATAGCTTGTTGGATTCTGAACAGTGTTTCTAACGGTCTTCTCACAGTTCTGTTCTTCGACTGCTTTTTCCAGTGTCCGAAACATATTGTCGCCTTTCTGAATTCGTTTAATGACATACTACTTATATCTGATTATAAGAAGCACTCACCACAGTACCAAGCAGGCTAAATATTTTGGTGATCTAAATAGTTTCGGTTTCCAGAAGGAAGTGTGATTAAATGTCACCTCGTACTCTTTGAAATTCAAATTAATTTACAATTTCCTTCTTATCGACTGGTAAATTTTATCTATGTTAGTGTGTCTGTTGATTGACGATTCACTGGAATACCAGGCTTCTAAAAATCCTCTAGCATGCTTGGTTCTTCCTCTGTCTAATATTTGAACGCTTTCCCAGTCTAATTGATGTCCATGGTTGTCTGTTTGCAGCGATATGAGGTAGTGGATGTCATGTCTTTTGACGGTTAGCTTATGTTCATGGATACGAAAACGAAGAGGGCGTCCACTCTGGCGAGTGTAGTGTTTCCCTCAGTTGTTTCAACTTATTTTGTAGATGATGTTGGTTTTATCTTCTTTCACTGTTGAGTCTTTTGGGTGATACAGAGCCAGCTGAGTAAAGCGATTTTGTTGGTTTGTGTGCGGCGTCAATTCTTAAAGGTTTGAAGAGTCTTGTCGTGATTTCTGACATGCCCTTTGTATACGGTTGGGGGATTTTCTTTGCGCTTCGTTTGACAGCCTTTAATTTGGTAGGTTGGCTTGGGGGTAGATTTCTTTTGATGCAGTTCCGAGGATATCCACTCTTTTGGAAGTCGTCCATTATATATCTTTCTTCAATTTTCCTTAAGGTAGGAGTGCTGTAATGAGTCCTGGCTCTCTTGAATCATGTTTGTGTACAACTCATTTTGTGTGTTATTGGGTTGTTTCTGTTCTTGTAATTGAGTATTTAGTCTGTGTGATTTAAGTTTCTATAAACATGAATTTCTAATTTTCCTGTGTTTGTTGGCTTGACTAAGACGTCCAAAAATGGGATTATGTTCTCGGATTCTCCTTCTTTTGTGAATCTGATGTCGTTTAAGATGCTGCTTATAAAGTTTTGAGCTTTGTCCAAATCGTTTCTTTTGATTATTGCGATTGTGTCATCTACGTAACGTGTGCACATTTTGGGTTGGATCTTCGGTAGGATTATGTTTTCGAGTCTTTGTATCATAGTTTCTGCAATTAGACCTAATATGGGCCATCCCATGGGTGTTATTTTAATTGTTATTGTGCTTACAAAGCATCCCTAAGCTGTTCTACAGGTGTATGCGTGTGTGTGAGCGAATATTTGTGACTTGGAGTAGAATTAGCAGTTCAATTAGTATAGGATAGCTTATATCAACACGTCTTGTCTCTACTCATATATTCTAAAGATAATAAATAAAGATAAACACTGAATGTGTTTTTTATATGCAGACTGAACATTTCAGTAGGCTGAAATATATTCGGTGGCATAACTCACTGAGTTGTTTGCATGTTAAAGCATTTCCAGGAGGTTCTAGACTTTCGTCAACAGTCGCCTTCTCCGCTCCATGCTGAAGATCAAATGCCCATCAGAAAGGACAAGCAACAAGGAACTTTGTCACGCAACGAATCAGCCAAGAACATATCGGCTATTAGAAATGCCGTAGGAAATGGAGAAATAGACTGGGTATGATCTGAGAAGACTCCCTGATGGCATCATGTGACAGGCCCCCGAGTGGAATTCACACGGAAGGTGATGATTTGAGCATTGGTTCTAGTTTGGCATGAAGTAGATAATTTGAAGAGGAGGAAATGAAACCTTATAGGTCACTCGTGGGGCTAGCTAAGTAACACTGCAGAAAACAGAGTGAATTGAAGATATACTGTTGAAGGCGTATGTCCCACTTGAAACCCACGGAATAAAATTATGATAATGTCAAACTGTAACTTTAGATGTTCGCTCTCTGGATCAAGACCCGAATCACAATAGAGATAACTTGAAAAATGGTAATATACTATTAAAGATAAGATTATCCTTGGACAAGAAACAAGAAGTGCAAACACTTTAAAACAAAGGAGCATTAAATCAAGGCATTCACAACTACTTATAAATAAAACTAGGCGTAAAATGATTAGTAGTATGATTCACTTACCGGTGAACTATTATGCATTGGCTTGGTTACATTGTTATTGAAGGTGTGTTCTAATGAGCACCGTTGCCTAGGCTGTTGATTCGACGATGGTGGAGTTTCATTCAAAGATGATTCTATATACATGTAGTTATTCTGAGCATAATTATCTGCATTGCCTCCATCATTTTCAATGGAGAAAGAAGTTTTCAGCTGGAATTAAAATGGAACAAAATGATAAAAATAATAACTACAGACAACTATATAATAAAGCATTAGGGTAATTCTTGCAGCAAATGCATGTCTCAGTGGATGGATTAAATGGTCTACCAGCAACGTGAATGTCTTGGCTGCGTATTGCTGAGGAGTACCGAACTTAGATGAAAAGTACATCTGTGTTTTGGTGATAGAATGCTAGCCAGGGTTTGTTTGCAGCGCCGGTGCACTCCTAAACCTCGTGCAGTTGGCAGTGAACATGGTGAAGAGAGAAGGTCGAGCATATGCATCCTGATAGGCGACAACACTGCCGCCACTGAAACTTGATGCCTTATGTTCAAGACGCAAAGGAATGATGGAGAAGATATGGTGAATATGAACAATAAATTGTGAATAATACAGTCTCACTATGTGATGTGTGGAATTTAAAATTATGAAATGTTCCCATGTCATGAATTAAAAGTCAGTCTGAATGATGAAGAATATTATTCTCGGCTAAATTCTTTTCTAGTCATAATAGAAAGGAACGTGACAAGTTGGTTCAAAGTTGTGAAAGGTGTCTAGTGAGTCTAAATTATTATTTATTATAGAAAATTCATTTGGGTTTCAGGTGGAATATAGGGCTCCAACAACCCATATCCACTTTCTTCTATTCTCTTCTGTCCTCTTCATCTGGCTGTGGCCATGACTGACCATAATCTCTCATCTCCTCCTTATCACACGACTCCTCCATGTCGCCCTCGTACCGGCGGCAAACTTGTCACTTCCCGCAGAGATTCCACTTGAGCAATGATCTGCATTGGGCGTGATGTCATTCAACGGTCTTCTCAACGTATTACTAATCAATCCACCTGCATTTTCTGCCATATATTTGTTAAGCAATTGGCTCTTGCTTAATTCCTTGCCTCACAGAGTTTCTTGTTGCTAATTCTTTCTGGCCGGCTGGCCGACCATTTGATCTTCAGTATGGAGGTAGCGAAGGGGGAAGCTTTTGATAAAAGTCTCTGTTAACTTGTTGGATATCCTTTTCATGAAGTTTTGGGCAAATTTCTGACCCCCAAAGAAGCAGTGACTGACTGACTTCACATTTGTGTTGAAAATCCGAATCTTGTTCTTTATCCTGGTTGAGTGAGTGCGGAAGATTTCCAAACTGGTTCCAGGTGTGCGAAGGCGGTTTTGCGTTTCCGATTCTGGCTGGCTGTCTGTGTCTGACATCTTCATCCGTGCTGACTGCCTGTGGTTAAAACCGTGCTTCTCAGCCGCATAAGTGAAGCGATTAACTTCTGTCGAATTTCTTCCGTCGAAGGTGTTTGCTGTTCGTTGGTGTTGCTGTTGGTGGTGTTTGACGGGTATCTTCATCACTTCTATCTCTACCTTCTCTATGTTCACCTGGAGTCCTGTCTCCGCTGCCTACCCGCCTCTTCAGCCAGTTTATTGGTTTCAGTCTGCAAGTCTTTGAATTTATGTGACATTAAACATAAATCGTCCACTGCAATATCTAGATCTTCTAAAGTCTTCTTATCGACCAGTCCGACGTATTCCTGTCTCTTCACTCCTTGTGCACAGCTTGACGCATAATCCAGTCCGCAACAACTGGGAATTTCATCGGTGATAATAGGCAGTCAGCCAGATTGTCTTACTCCTGTCTTCTTTACTTCGAACGCCTCACTGAGTTTTCCGTTGTGGATCACTTGACACTTGGAAGGCATTGTCATATAGCTAGCCAGATGTTAAATCAGGTTGATAAACACTTGAACAGTGCACGCTGTAGTGCTTGAAAAGGTGGCCTTTCTTCAACTCAGTAGGCACCTTTCCTTTCTTCCAAACCCTTTGCACTTATAGCGTGAGCACATCTGCCGGAGTCTCTACGTCCGTTTACAGCGCTTCGGGGGAAATTCTATCTGGCAGTGTTGCCTTCCTGGAATTCAGCAGCTTGATCGCATTCATAATTTCTGTTTTCGTTGGAGGACCGGTGTCCACTGGAAGGCTGTACTGTGAGTGCTGTTGATGGTATTTCTAGGCGAAATGAAGATGATGGTCAATTCAACAGTCCTTTACAATGATCGGCCTATTGTTTTATTTCTTTCTCCTCCTTGATGGTCAGGTTCTCTTCAACGTCTTTTATTGGCTTCATCATCTGGGTTGATCTCTTCCCGGAAGAGACTTGGTTGTCTGAAATAATGTTCTGAGGTCTGTTTTACCTGCGTCTACCTGCCTGTTCTGCTTCAGTTGCCAGAGCGTCGTAGAATTGTCTTTTTTCTTTCCTAGCACTCTTCTTAGTTCTTCATTCAGTGCAGTGTACACTGAACTTCGCTTCTCCTTCTGTTGTCCATCTTTGCACTGAGTCATCTTTTCCACCATCCTCATCTTCTCTCTTCTATTAGTTTCCAGGTATCCATTGATAACCATTCCTTGTCGTGTCTCCTCTATTTTTCCTAGAACAGTTGTACGCGTTTCTTTGAACATCACCTTCACAGGGTTTCAATGCGCCTCCACGCAGGTCTCTTTAGTGGCACTACGTATTGTCTCCGACTTTGCTCTGGTTCTGATCTGTAGTGAAGGTGTCCCTTGTAGTTTTATCCTTTAGTTTCTGAATGTTGAGCTTGAATTGTGGTCTGTGTCTAGTTTTTTTGAGGGATTTCAGCTTCACCTTGAAGGTTCCTTGAACTCTATGGTGATCTGAGTCCACATAAGGTTCTTTTCTCGACTTTGTGTCCAGCAGGCTGGCTGAGTCTCCATTTCCTTGAGAAGAATTGAGATGAAGTCTTTTTGGTTTGTGGTGAGTTCATCGGGCGAAATCCATGTTGCTTTGTGTATATTCTTGTGACTGTACACTCTGCCTCCGATCACCGAATCATTGACAGCGCAGAAGTCGGTGAACAGTTCTCCCTTCTCATACATTTCTCCGAGCAAGAGCCCCTCGACCCATGTTGAGTTCTCTTCCTGCATTATCAGGTCCCAGTTTGACATTCATATCACCTATGAGGATTTCGATGTTGCCATTCAGGGTGTTGTCGACTACTTTTTGTAGTTGTCGGCAAAACTTTTCTTTCTTCTCTTGTTCCGCTTTGTTTGTAGCACTGTGTGTAGCATTGGATAATTGTGACATTCCTTCCTTCCTTTTGAGTTCCATTCTATTCGCAAGGATAATTCATTCGCACTATCTTTGTTCCAGCATACTTTGAGTGGAATTTCACCTCTTTTATTCCATTATTATTACTATAATAATTATTATTATAGCCACACGGTAGTATGCAGACTATTAACATATGTGTAACACTTGGGCACTGTGGTAGTAAGTAATTCCATATTAGTTTGTTTATTAGATATATCACACAGTGAGTGAAACAGTATTATTTACTGAATGACGTTTCGAACACAATCTAGTATTGTTCATAATCATACCAATTAATTATAATCACACGACTTTGAAACTTGAGTTTTATGGTTTCTGTTCTCTCCTATTTGTCGTCGCTGGGGTAGTAGAATTTTCTAGATATCTGGGACAGGTGTTGAATCACTCCTATTACACGTATTCTCTCTCAGTTGATTCGATAAACAAAGCTTCTTTTATCAATCTCTCCCTAAACCCTGTGAAATTAGATTTTAAAACTGTCATCCTATTCCATCCTATTGTATGGTTGTATGTAACTACATGCGATGAGTGCTATAGCTGAACTATTCTCTAGATTTCTTATCTTATTTGGAAGGCTGCCCAAAAGCCTTACATAGAATTCTTAACAAGGCACGAATAAAAGTGGTTGGCATTCAAACCCACAAACTCAATTAGAAACAAGCTTTGTCGGTTAAAGGATCAATCCTGTGGAGCCTTTAAAACAGAACAACTTAGTTTATTTAAAACCCTGCCTGCGATGACTGTCAGGTCAAAGTAGTAGAACAGCGGCAGTCAAACTAGCTGAACATAAAAACCTAGCAAAATCTAGATTAGTTGACCCGAATACGGTAAGAAATCTAGAGAATAGTTGAGCCAACGCAAGCGCTACATGCAATTACACACAATCATGCAATAGGATGGGGCAAGATGACAGTTCTAAAATCTAATACAGCTAACATGATGGAGAGATTGATAACAGAAGCTTTGTTTATCGAATCAACTGAGAGAGAATACGTGTAATAGGAGTGATTCAACACCTGTCCCAGATATCTAGAAAATTCTACTACCCCAACGACGACAGAGAGGAGAGAACAAAAAAAACCCATAAAACTCAAGTTTCAAAGTCGTGTGATTATAATTAATTGGTATGATTATGAACAATACTAGATTGTGTTCGAAACGTCATCCAGTATGTAATGATACTGTTTCACTGTAATATATCTAATAAGCAAACTAATATGGAAGTATGCAGACTACCTTTTTTGGCTTTGACTCAAATTCATCATATGACTACAGTATTGTGAATGATACTACACTTTTAGACAGATAAACAAAGAAAAACAAAAAAAATCTTTAAAGCGTTGTCTCCAAATATGAATTACCAAAATTAACACTGTGAGTGAGTGAGTGCGTGAGTGGGTGACAGAGAAACATAGAGAGAGAGAAGAAACAAAACTTAGCAATACCATTGACTACTGCAATTCTGAGCGTAACAACAGACCACTTGACACTAAATTGATTGTATGTGACTCAGTTCGATTTAAAAAAAATATAAGCATTACTCTGTTATTTAAGTTACTCATTGAAGAATAACTCTATAAGGAATGTGAATTATAGTTGTTACCTAGTCTATGCTACAGAATGTCAACTATGCTCACACCATACGCTCAGAGATAATCAGGCAACCTATTGAATTCATACGAGAAATAAAACGAGATCTTGGTTGAACTAACCGTAATCTAGCTCCTGTATCAAACCCACCTCAGTAAGAGTAGGGGAAAATTAGTCATTGCAAAAAACGAATTTGGGTATCGCGACACAGTATAGTCTCATCATTTATTTCTTCTTCCTTTTCCTTCACAGCAGAACATAAGGCTTCAAGCTAGAGGCTTGAAGTTTCAGTAGCAGTGGTGTTTTTATTTTATAAGGGTTGAGATTGCTAGCCTCATGCGCCACCTTCCCTATTTACTTGTTTTATTACTGGCTTGTTGAAGTAAAGGAGTGCGTCTGTGGCTGGGGATCGAACCCCGGACCACATGAAGCGTGGTTGGTGAGCATTCTACCACCAAGCCACCGCCGCAAATATATTTGATGGTAAAAGCACATGGTGGCGAGGATTCGAGGAATTTTCGGATGTAGGCTTGATGAACAAGGATTTAGTGGTCAACGTCTCAACCCCACTTAAACATATATTTTTGGAACTGTCGCTCTATCCGTTCACTACGATTGTTGAATTTTTCCTTAATCGAATCATCTCCTTGGGGTCAATCAGTTCACACCTAGCTAATTACCCACGTTCTGATAATCTAACTACCTCTGATCTATTGGTCTGACTTACCTATGTGGTTAACCTTTCAGTCACTTAAAGGTATTTTGTAGATTAAATTATTTTGTCCAGTTTAGTGAATGAGCCTGTCCTTTAGGTAGTTTGTAGGTTTTCAATGCCAGTCTGATTCCTGTTGTGTTAAAAAACCTACGTAACTTTCCAGATGTTTCTTCTTTATACAGTAGAACTATAGATGGTTTAAATCCTTTCTTTTTTATGTTTTGGCTAATACTTCCACTACTATTTTCCCCTTCTTGTGAGCTTTTGAAACCTCCCGAATGGATTTTATAGGATGATTAATGGTGCAAACCCTTCTTCTATTTGTTTTATTTCATCATTTAAGTCTTTCGAAGTACTACTTGGAGTTCTTTTTGGCTTTATTCGACACTTGACCAAGCCTCCCTCTAAAGATAATGCGTGAGATGAATTAAAGGCTAGATGTCTGCTAGAATGCATTGGCTTTTTCGAATGCTGGTGTTTAGTTTACCTTCTCCTGTTCAATTTATTTTGAAATCTGAAACCAACTTATTCTCATTGTTCACTTTCTGACTCAAATGTTAATTTCATTCCTTCTATTACTGAATTTATAGGTGTGTAGAAACCAGAGACATGTTCTATTTTTTTCAACACTGTCAAGAATTAGGCGGAATATTCCTAATAAACAAAGAATAATCCTCAAAGTAAAAGACATAATGAATCACAGATAGGAAAGTTTCATCAAGCAGCGGGTATAATTGGCCTGCATACTAAAGGTGTTGCTGATCTCTGAGTGTTGATGTATACACGCTAGAAGCTGTTCAGTTACTCGGTGAATTATATCAAACAAGTAATAATTATAAGCGTGCACATGTGTTGGACACAAGCCTGGCTCTTTTGTCAACAGCTGCCCTTAATAAGTCAATATTAAACATCAGATGACCGGCCAGAAAGGAATGCTAACAAGCAACTCTGGTGGGGCAACGAACCAACCAACAATCTATTGCCCAAAAAATATGCCGAAGGAAATTGAGTTGGGTTGGTTATAATCTTTAGGAGGGCAAAGTTAAACTTTAAGCACCACTGACTACCAATCAGCGAGTGACCTAGAATGCACCAATCACGTGAAGGAGGCAATTTTGTGTGTGGATTACATATATTTTTGAAAAAAATGCATAAAAATTGTAGGAAAGTGTTATAGAGGATATCTTTCTCTCACATGTGATAAAAATAGCCCTCAGTTATAGGTTGGAGTATCAACAGAGTATAATTCCATTGTGGGTAAAATTTATTTTGATGAAGTCTCATTGTGTGATACAGTAATATTTCCTGAGCAATACATTGTGCTTGAAACGTTGTCATAAGTAAATATTAGTGTATAACACCTTTATCAAAATAAATTTTACCCACAATGGAATTATACTCTACCATCACAGTGCACAAGTTCTATTCTTATATCAACAGAGCAATTTAACCACATTCTATGCACATAATTATTTAGGTCTTCTAACTCTAACAATAACCCTAATCTTCCCTCAACTTAACCCTAAACTAACTGTAATCTAACTCGAACCCACCCTAACTGGTCGCTGGCTTAAGGCGTACCTTAATCTTTCCTAAACCTTAGTTGTCACTTGCCAGATATCCCATTTAATAGCATAACACTTCGATGAGCATATTTTATTGATGATGACGACATTATTTGCCAGGTTTCACTAACTTGCTCAGGACGCGTTTCAAGGTCATTGGTGCGATCACGCTCCACTGGTAGTTAGTGGTGCTTAAAGTTTAACTTGGCCTTTAGGAGATTACTGAATGAAAGCAGGCACCAGGCAGGACCTCGAGTAGAACCCAAATGGGCACTGGTCCGAGTGTGACACTGAGGATATCGTTTGAGAGGAAAATGAAGGGGTAAAAGCTACTGAGGACAATAGAGGTAGATGCAGACGTGCTGGTGAGGCCCTACATTCAACTGGGAATCCAAGGGAATAATACATGAGTTGAACGTTAATGGAATAAATTCTTTAGGATTTTTATAATACTTTCGCAATACATATTACGAGTTATCTGTACCCATGATAACTTCTAAGACAGCAAGCATTTTACAAGCAAGAAAAGAATGAAAATATAACTACCAAGGAACTCACATTATTATTATTTGTTGCATTTTCAATACTTTTCAACCAACTGATGTACTGGTTTTCAAGATCATTTGACGACAACCGATCAGCCTGATTATAAACTGTACTGCTGGAATTCCTCCATTGTTGTACACAGTTAATACTGTTGTCATTGTTTAAATTTTTCGAAATGTCCTAAAAAGATTAAAGCGGGAAAAATATATGTAGAAAAAGGAGCGATATTTAAATGCTTGATCACAGACTTATAAGCAATGAAAAGCCGGGGAGTACTGGACATTTATTTAATCATAGTAATTGAGACAGTCCAACAGTAGGCACACATGACTCCATCAGAGATCAAACTTACTACCTTCAGGTTACGCAGCTCACTCGAGGACCATTCATTCACTTGGACGAAACCCAACTACCAATGAATTCTAACTAATGTGAGTTCGCAACTTTTAGTGCCACTGCCAGCCAGTGTTATCGGTGAGTATTTCTGTCCATAACCAACTTGATGGGCTGCACTGTCGGAAATTCGAAAACGAAACTACTGAAAACCAAGAAGCAGTGGACTCTTTCACAGTACTTACTAGTGACCATGCATGGGATCTGGCCTGTGAACACTGGATTGCGTGTGGAGAGGAGGTTATGGTTCGAATGCTGAATCATGCATGAATAGATTATTCCACATTAAAATGAAGCAGCTACCCATTTCATCAGTTTATTGTGACATATGAGAACAAACAGACACTGACTACACAACTTGTGGAAAAAACAAGAAAAATAATGAAGAAAGTGTACTGTTTAACAACCAATCCAATAAGATTCAGTTTGATCTAATAGGAATTATGATATTATATACCTTCAGTAGAAACTATTAACCAAATACGGGAACAAGTGGATAACCAGTCGATAATTATTGGCATCCCAACGGAAATCGTAAAAGAATTGTTATTAAGGTGTACCATGAATGTACATATGATGGCCCACTTTACAGACAAGTGAACAGGGAGGCAGTGGGTTCCGTACTGAGTCCTATTTTTTCAGATTTCTTTCTAAGTAGACAAGAGAATGGACCAAGGAACAACCTTATCAGAAGGTTCTCATTTTAGTGTCGGTATATGGATGACACCTTTATCCTTTGTGACAATGATTCGGATACAAACACGAAAATAAATCGATTCCATGAAGTACATTTTATCGTCAAATTCACCAGTGAAGAGGAATCTCAAAATAGAATTGCCTTCCTAGATGTCCTCGTTACAAGAAAACCAGATGGTAGTACAAAGAGAAATTTGTACAGAAAGAGCGCATGGACAGGATAATATACACATTTCATAGCTGTTTTGCTCTGCATTACCAGAAAAATTTAATGAGGAGCCTCAACTACAGGGTCAGAGCTATATGCTCTGAAGAGGTATCTAAAGATAAACTAAGGATGGTTTATGATACATCGACTGAATATAGCAATCCAGACAAATTCATCAGGAAACATATGACTAAGAAAGTGGAAAGGGACTATTCACTACCCGTAAACAAAAAGCCTTTATACATACGACTGCACTTCAAGGGAGATATAACTAGCGAAATGATTACGAAGAAGTTAAGAAATTCAGTTCAAAGAACTTTCATTGCTGGCAAATTACAAGTCTTATTTTCTACAGGACTGGTTGTAATTCTTCGATTGAAAGATGGAGTAACTAGACTAACTACTTCTAACCGAATCTACCAATTCAATTACGTTTGTGGTGGAGCGAGTTCTATTGGCCGTTGCTCTAGGAACTTGATTTTTCGTGCTCCCTCGAGAACATCTACCAGTGTTTTTAAATAAGGGTGTAATAAAAACCATCCACAGTTCAATAGTAGACCAGTTAGTCCAAACCGGCCACAAAGCCAGCAATGAAGAATCCATCATCATATATCGAGTACCGAAGAAATTGCCAAAAAACATCCAGGTACCGCATACTCCAAACAGCAGAAGCTATTGTGATTCACCTAGAACAACCAGTGCTTTGTGTGCAAAAGAAGCAAGTCCATCCACTACTACTGTCCTGACCGGCCTTCAGTAGAGACTGTAAACTCATAAATTTGCATTATTATCTTTCCTAATTTTTCTGACATTCAGTTTATTGTTATTTTGATGCTACTGAACTGTAATCTATTGATATTATTGATTCGATGTTATTTAAGCAACATTAATGTTGTTCATAAGACTAATTCATTCATTCACTATAATGCATATAAAACTGTAGAACCTGATGAAGAACAGCCTATCGAAAAGAGTATTCTTTGTTCAGTAATCATTCTTTTGAAAATATCCTTTGTGTTCAAGCTCTAACGTGTTATTGAGCATTTACGCCTGAGTTGTATAATTTGGCCATGAATACTTCTTTTTCGGATGACAAAACGTTCCAAGTCCAAGACTTTACTATTGAGTAATTAAAATGACATAATTCAGTGAAGTCAAAAGAACAAAATACAATGTGTTTCAATTGTATAGATCATCTTTATTCCCAATTGGTTAACTGTTTAGTCAATGCACTAATCGTGTTTATTTCGCTAAATATACCCATTAAGACATTGAAATAAGAACAAATTAGTTCAGCGAAGAGTCTCTTTTCAGCGAATTCATGTTTATATATCGTGTTTATATATCAACTCTCTAAGCTGAAACAAGCCAAGTACACCGCTGATCAGCACAAACACAACCTAGCGAAACAGTCATCCAGTTTTCAGATCACTTCGATGATCTGGCTAGCAGACACTATTGGTTGCTGTGAGTGGTCTACAACTACTCAAATCGACCAGTCAGTAGTATATGATGTATGCATGTTTGTTTCTTCTTTTTTCATCATCATTTATGGTATCAAGCATAACACATACTGTAATATGAAAAATTTTGGTTTTCAAAAAAGACTATAGCTAAATTGTATTTCAAATCATGTTAATTGAGATTCGTGCATTAACTTAAAAATTATGAGTTTGATTTAGCCTATTACCAGTTCGCCCAAAGTAGATAAACAGAATTCAGATGGTTTGAACTGCTTTAGCTCGCTGAATTGAGTTGAACCAAGCATACGACTGATGAGCTGGACACTAAACCAGCTTATACATGTTATTATTCATCATACGTATCTCAAGAAGGGATGAGTTTTATTCCCCCTTGGCTTTTTTGTTCGAGGAGGGGACAAATAACAAATGCATCTATTTCGGGTCTTTTAGGAGTTTGATTGGATGGAGGATTTCATCCTGGGCTGACATCAGTTAGAGAACCATTGGAAAACCAACTGGGAGTACTGGACAGCTGTTTCATCAAACCGGTTTAGGACTCTTCATCAGTACGTACCCACCGCAAGGGTTCGAATCAAGGACCTTCTGGTTACAAGGTAAGCTAATAGGAGTGTTAACTGACTTCAGTGTTCACGCCGTCCCCAAGTAACATCAATTAAATAATTGCTGGAAACCGGAAAATAGTGGATGTGGGTTTTGTCCTAGTTTGAAACTGTCCTTCAGTGCCAACGTATAACCCAAATGGGGACCATTTGCGGGATCATTCGGCTTCAGAGATCAACTCATCGGTCATTTAGCCCCTGGGTAGGAATTCAGTAACCCGTGAATTTTAATTTCTGTCGCTTTGAAATTTACCACTATTCTCAACCCATCCCTTTGATGAGTATTAGCTTCACCGTGACACATTTGACCAGACACATTTGCCTCCAAAGCCTCAGGATGGTCGGGGGTGGGTGCCTTGCGCTGCGGGTTGGCCACCCCTCCGCACACCTCTTGAAATGCTCCCATATGACCGGGCGTCTTACATAGCCTCTCCTGAGGAAGTCCTACTCACTGCCTTCACGTGGCGGAGGTGTTTTTCACCAAAGTCAGAGGACGAAAGCGGATGCCCGGCGCTCTTCACCAGGTTGACTGTCCATTGGATGACAGTCTAGGGGAGATGGCTAAACCCTGATTCCAAACCTCCAACGACTGGCGTATGAAGCTCACTGGAGCTCACCGGCAGACGTATGGACAAAGGGCTTGTTGGATGTCCTGGATGTCTGGCTTCATTCAAAAAGGCGTATGAACCGAACTCCGGTCACCGGCTGCCAATGGGTAGTGGACTCCCTACTCCACTCCTACTGCCTTGTAGGTCACACTTGGTTGTGTAAAGGCTAGAGCTGCACTCTCAAACAAAAGGCCGAGCGATTCTGGGGACATCACTCGTACCAAATTCCCATGAAACTTCATGAACTCTCTTACAAACTCAAAACCTTGCATCAGATCGCCGCGCCTGGGCATCGATGATTCGAGATGTTCATGAAGCCGGCTCATCCTCCCGTAGGAGATAGCCGAAGTAAAGAAAGAAGAAGAAGATTTGACCCGACAAACCACAACTTCTCTTCAGAACTTCACAGTATTCATCCAGCAGCCATTAGTGAGCTGGAGAGTGATTTTATTTAAATGATACTGGCTCTTGAAATGTATAGGTGTTTTGTGTAGATGGTTAGAAGCAAGGGCGAATTCCAACGATCACCTCTGAATCTACTATGGCAACCAGACATTTATCATGCGTTCAATCAAAACTTGATACAATTAAGGTCCCAGACAAAAATGCTCTACTTTTGTCAAAAAAGAGAGTTCTATCAGACAAGTGATTTTTTAAATTGAGGTTCATTTGCATGATGATTAAAAATATCTCATAGAAGAGTCTGAAACACGGCCTCAGTTTCATCTGATTTGACTGGACTCCTTTTTTTCATTGTAATGTAGATCTCATGAAGGCTTTAGTTTTATAAAGTTGTCACACCTGTTAAACAAAAAGTAACTCTTCCCTTTTCACTTCCGGTTTTAGAAATAAGACAAAGTGGGTGGAAGGTGAGGGAAGCTATGAATCAAATCAATAGTTTAAAAATAGAAAAATGCATACAAACATGCGTAAGTAAATAAAAGGGGGCATTTTTAAACTTTGAAAGTTGCTTAAAAATTTCTGATTAAATCCTTTTAAAAAGAAGAAGAGGAGTTCGGTGAAGAGTTGCTCTTTTCAGCGATATTATTCTTAAGCTGAGTAGATCTCTACTCGACGCTGTAAATTATGTTATGTCACTCAATTCGCTTATTTAATCATACTGTGTTTCCTACCCGACTAAGGCTTTTTCTATTAGTATTATTCCCTTAGGTTGCGGGTGGAATATAGTGCT